TGTAAGATAATATACAGTATTGACTATATTTGCAAATTGAAATTCACTCTTTTTCCAAGTTAGAATAATAGAGTTGTCTAAAGTTCTCTGTGAAGCACATATATTGATGGTGAATTTCCAAGTTTTCCTTTTCCCCTGCTAGCTATTTAATTATTTATGAGCCATCTTTAATTCTCTCTTTTAAAAAGCATATGTATATCAAGGAATTTATTCATCCAATAAATCTTAATGCATAGGTTTTAGAAATATGTTGAGGATTAGTTTCTTGACTTATTTAATAAATAATAATTCAATGATCAAAAGTGAAATCAATCTGAATGGAGTCTGTTGCTTAAAGGAATATAGGATGCCAGTTTTCCTAGAGAAAACCTGAAGTTATATACCTTAGTAGTCACTATTTGTGGAAAAATCTACTCCACAAGGGAGGGTTAGGGTTTTGCCTGGCCTGCAGCTAACACACAGCACACGATTTGTAAATCACCTCTGTTTTGCAGCTGGGGTAGGAGACAGGGCCAGAGTTGGAGGCAGGAGCAAAATTTGGGGTTTACTTCAGAGAGGCCTGCCTACCTCCTTCAACAGCGTGTGGCACTCATGTGAGGGGCGGTGAGCAATGTGGGGTAGCAGGTTAAGCCGCCTCTGACAAAGCCAGCATCCCATGTAGATGCTGATTCCAGTCCTGGCTGCTCCACTTCCAATCCAGCTCCCTGCTAATGTACTTGGGAAAGCAGTGGAGGATGGCCTCAGTCCTTGGGTCCCTGTACCGACATGGGAGACCCAGAAGAAGCCCCTGGCCCCTGGCTTCAGCCTGGCCCAGCCCTGACCATTGCAGCCATTTGGGGAATGAACGAGTGAATGGAAGACCTCTTTCTCATCTCTGCCTCTGCCTCTTCCTCTCTGTAACTCTGCCTTTCAAATAAATAAAAATAGATCTTTCAAAAACAAAAAGTGTGAGAAGATCCAGAAACTGTCTCTTGGCCGGCTGCTAGCAGCCAAGAAGCAAGGAACCACTGGTGGGCATTTCAGCAAATTCGTGCGAATTGCTGGGCTACCAAATTTCCCCTCTCATCTTTGAACCAGGCTGTTGAAAACGTCTTAGAATATGGAAAGTGGAGCTTCCTTTGCCCTTCAAGAAAAGGTTGGCCCTGCTGTGGAGAGATGGCCATCAGAGGGAGACAGGTGGGCTCTTCCCAGGAGCCCCCAGGGCACACAGCCCTCCGTGTTAGCGGTGGTGAAAACCAAGTTTGTAGCTGATGATGTTGGCTGTCACAGAGCCCATGCATTTGTAGAGCATTTAGCTTAGTGACCTAAATGTTCTCATCTTCGGGGGGGGGAAACAAGGAGTTTAATTAATTCATAATAAAAAAAAATCCTCCATTGCATAGAAGCTAAAACTCATAGAACCCTAACAGAATTGGATGTGTGATATGACGCAGTCATCAGCATGCCATGGCCTTAGAAATTACAATATCTGACCTTAATATGTGTGAATCTATCAGGATTCCATTGTCGACATGTATATTTTTCAATATTCTACTCTGAGCTGAAATCATGTCATTTATATGCAAATGACCACATCTTCAGCAGCTGCTGCTTCTCCGTGGAAGCCCAGGGACTTATTTGCACTTAATAAAGCCTCATAAATAGGTTCTGCCTCTAAATAGGTGGGGGGGGGAGCAGAACACCCATCGTAGCCTTTTACAGTTACAAGCCGCTTTTTTGTTTTGAAAGCGAGAGTGGCCACCTCTAACGGGATGGTTCTCAGTTGCTAAACAAACGCGGGTCCTCGTTCAGCCACTCTCCCCCTTCCTTCCTGGAAAAAAACCACTCTTCTCCACGGGAGCCTTCTTCCCCACCACAGCTGCTGGTCCGGCACAATCTCCAGTGTGGGTTGTGATTTAATCCAGACTTCAGTTGCCCTTTGAGCATAGTCCCCTGCCAGGTGGTCAGGGCAAGTGTCCAGCTGAGAGAGACCCCCAGCTCCCCTCAGGCTGTCCCGTCTGAAGGGGAGCGAGGAGCGGGACACGCGTGGGCCAGTGCAGCAGGCTTTTTCCATATCATGACTTCTGAATTTCCCTTTTGAAACACTCTACACAGGGAAGGACAGTGTATGGGGACTGCTTGTTCACTCTGATTGCCCAATCAGCAGTAAGACATCATTAAAAACTCACCCTAATGCATGTGATAATCACATAGGACTTCCCGTCTCCATGTTCCTAGCTGCTAGTTCTTTTTCAACAACAATGAATGGAAAACGAATACAGTCTATGCCCTTGGCACGCATCCAATCTGCATTCTACCCAATCTCTAGCCATAATCCTCTCACACCACCCATGCTTCTCCTTTGGTGTCAACAAAATCATCCCATTGACCGTTTAAAATCACTTAAGACATGTTTTTAAAATGTAGGAAAGTATTACAGGGTAATTGTCTCCTGCTGTTAGATGCGAGACAAACTGGAGGCACTTATGAAAAATAAATAATGCCGGGGAGCAGGGTCGTTCATTTCTGAAGCACTGGCTGCTGATTTGGTAATAATGACCTATTATCCTTGTCAGAGTAATAGCCTGCTTCTGGAGCTCCGGTTCTGGTGTGTGAGCAGCCAGCAGAGGTGATTATGCTGTCTGATAAATGTGTGTAATCAACAAGGACACTGGTTGACAATACTATCATTAAATTGTCATCAGCTTGGCAAAGAGACAAACATCCTTACCGTGACAACCTATCAGAAATATTTATAATCGCACAGCATCCTGGCACAATATTAATCTAGAAAACTGAAAACACACACATGCGCGCACACACACACGTCTACATGCAGTCACTAGGAGCAGGGGGCGCCAGGGGAGATTTAGAAAGGAGTGGCAGGCAGCTGGCCCTGCCGAGCAGGAGTCCTGCGATCTAGACTCAGCTTCCCGAGCCTCAGTTTCTTTAATTTGACAAAAGGAGATCATATCTGTTCTGTCCATTTCACACTATTTTGAGTACCAAACATTTTTATACAAGATCCAAAGTATCTAAGAATAATAGATTCAATCTTATATAAAGTTACTCTTGTTATATTTAATGTTTCATATTGGTTTCTTTTTCAAACAATTGTGAGATGTACATAGCATTCACCGTCTTCACCATTTTTCACTCTGCAGACCAACGGCATTAAGTACTCATGTCGTTGTGCCTTATCACTTCCATCTCCAGAACTCTTTCTCATGTTTTGTAAAGCTAAATTTTGTGTCCATCAACTAATAACTCCTCCTTCTCCCTTCCTGCCCAATTACTGTTATACTTCCTACCTCTATGAATTTGACTTCTCCAAGAACCTCATATAAGTAGAACCATATACTTGATGGTATTTGGAAAGATTCATGCAAAATTTGCATTATCTTTTAATCCCATTTTCCACCAAATTTCTGAAGTACTGTAGTAGGGTTTGTACTTTGTGATTGGCACATTTCAATTAGTGTAATGTCCTCAAGGCTCTCCCATGTTGTAATGTGTTAACATTTCCTTTCTTTTTAAAAGCTAGATAGTATCCCACTATATGTACATGCACATTGTGTATAGCCACTCCTCTGTTGACAGGCACTAGTGGTGCTCCCTCTTTCTAGCTAGCACTGTGAACAATGCTGCTGTGAACGCAGCTGTACTAAGATCTCCTCAGGACTCTGCTTTGCGTTCTCTGGGGTAAGTATCCAAAAGGAAAATTGCTGGATCATGTGGTGATTCTGTGTGTAGCATTTGGAGAGCCACCATACCGTGTTCTGCAGTGCTGTTGCCTTCCACATCTAATTTCTCCACCTTCTTACCTTCATTTATATATATATATATATATAGTGATTTTCCTCATGGCTGTGAGGTGGCATGTATTGGTTTTCTTTTAAATGCACTGATGTACAAGAACCTCTGTCTAATATTATCATGAGTTTTCTTTTTATAATATTTATTTTATTTATTTGAAAGACAGTTACAGAGAGAGGGAGAAAGAGAGAGAGAGAGAGAGAGAGAGAGAGAGAGAGAGTCTTCCATGCACTGATTCATTCCCCAAATTTTTGCATGGCTGGAGCTGTGCCAGTCAGAAGCCAAGAGCCAGGAGCTTCCTCTGGGTCTCCCTTTGTGGGTGCAAGGGCCCAGGGACTTAGGCCAACTTCTACTGCTTTCCCTGGCCGTAGCAGAGAGCTGGATCGGAAGTGGAGCAGCCAGGATTAGAACTGGTGCCCATATGGGATGCCAGCACTGCAGGCTGGAGCTTTAACCCACTGCACCACAGCACTGCCCCCCATGAATTTTCACATTTGAAATGGCTTTGTTTTTCTAACCGTAGCTTAGCTCCCACTCTGCCAAGCTCATTTACACTACAGTAAGGAGTGACTTAGGAGCTTCTCTGACACCTACATTATATGTATTTTTAATGGTGCAACTCCCCCCAAATTAAATGTCTAATTATACTTACACATATATTATATTATATATTATATTCATATATACACAGTGATCCCTAAGGAGTTTTTTTATTTAAGATTTTTAAATTTATTTATTTGAGAGAGAGAGAGTTACAGACACAGAGAGGGAGAGACAGAAAAAGGTCTCCCTCACTCACTTCCCAAATGCCTGCAACAGCCAGAGCTGAGCCAATCCAAAGCCAGGAGCCAGGGATTCCTTCCAGGTCTCCCAAGCAGTGCAGGGGTTCAAGCACTTGGGCCATCTTCCATTGCTCTCCCAGGCCATTAGCAGGAAGCTTGACCGGAAGTGGAGCAACCAGGACGTGAATCAGCACTCATATGGGATATTGGCACTGTAGGCCAAGGTTTAACCTACAATGCCACAGTGCCGGCCCCCCTAAGAAATTTTATAACTTAACATATGTACATAAATTACAAATCTGCTGAGTTATATGTGAGGGTACTTCAAAAATTTCATGGAAAATGGAATTTAAAAATAAATTTCTTCAGTGCAAAAAATTTTTGAAACATACATAGTTTTTCAATTAACTTTAAAAAAATTTTTTTAAAGATTTATTTATTTGAAGGGCAGAGTGACAGAGAGAGATAGAGACATAGAAAAAGATAGAGAGAAATAGAGATGGAAATGGAGTTAGAGATAAGAGATGATAGAGATAGAGATATATCTAGAGAGAGAGAGAGAGAGAGACAGAGAGAGGTCTTCCATCTGCTGGTTCACTCCCCAAATGGCCACAGTGCCCTGGGTCAGGCTGAAGCCAGGAGCCAGGTGCTTCTTCCAGGTCTTCCACGTGGGTGCAGGGGCTCAAGCACTTGGGCCATCTTCTGCTACTTTCCCAGGCACATTAGCAGAGAGCTGGGCCAGAAGTGGAGCAGCTGGGACTTCAACCTGTGCCCATATGGGATGCCAGCACTGCAGGTGGCGGCTTTACCCACTGCACCACAGTGCCATCCCCTCCATTAACTTTTTGAAGACCTCCTCATATGTATACACATTTACAAAACTTCTTAGATTTCTCAGTCTTAGAGAATAAGAATCATTGGAAGGCATAACAACATGCAGGTGCTCAAGCGTCAGTTCCAGAGATTCTAATTCAATCGATCATGATCAGGCACAGGTGCATTTTTGAAGTTCCTCAGGTGGTTCCAGTGATGTAGTGTGCTGAACCCCCACTAACTTATATCCATTCCACTGTAATTTTATGTTAGTCTTTTGCTTTTTAAACTGTGGTTTCTGGTCATGATAATCATCTTTTCCTGAGAGTTTGGAACAGAATCTCAGGTTCCAGAATCTGCATTTTAATTGGATCCCCAGGTAGTACATATGTGCATTAAAGTTTGAGAAAGACACACCAGTGGACATAGAGAACAGTCATTCTCTATCAACCACACAGAATTCCTTTTCAGAAATCTGCACGCTAATATGAGCGAGCCCTCCTTGGAAGCAGTCGAGGAAAAAGAAAGCTAATCTTGCTTCTGTTTTAAGTGGATGGCAGCTCAAGCCAATTCTACTGCACAGAGGATGGCCATGATACACTTTCCCTGTGGTCATCACTACTGCCCGTGCCACAGTTCATCCATGCTCAGGCCACACCCCATTTCTGCCCCAAATTTGGGCAAAGTTTGGTCCAGCTGGAACCCATGAAGCTGAACAGTGATTATGTGGCTGGAGTTATGGCTGGGGTACTTAGAAAACTCAGTCCTGTCTGCTCGCCAGCTGAGGTCAGCAACACAGAAGCGCCGGCTCTGACCATTTGGCCTCTCTCTGAGCAGCATGTTTTCCTTACCTTCATCCCAGTGGGGCTCTGATGAACTGTTTCAGCTGTAGGGCCAAGAACACACTAGGCTCTAATAAATGCTTGATCCTAGAATCCTGGTGGTCGAGCCAGACCCTCATTATAGTAGAATCCGCTCAATAATGTCTTCAAATGGTTGTCTTCTCTGTGCTTGAAAATCTCCAGGGCTGGAAGCAAATAAACAAAATTGAGCCATACTGGCCTTCCTTTTTTTTTTTTAAGATTTATTTTATTTATGTGAAAGACAGTTACAGAGTGAGGGAGAGGGAGAGAGAGAGAGAGAGAGAGAGGTCATCCATCTGCTGGTTCACTCCCCAAATGGCTGCAACAGCTGGAGCTGTGCCCACCCGAAGCCAGGAGCCAGGAGCTTCTTCCAGGTCTCCCACACGGGTGCAGGGGCCCAAGGACTTGGGCCATCCTCCACTGCTTCCCCTGCCATAGCAGAGCTGGATCAGAAGTGGAGCAGCTGGGACTCGAACAGGCTCCCATATGGCACTGCGTTTTACACTGAATTGTCATCCTAACCTTATGAGATAGATGTTATACCAACTTTACAATTGAAGAACCTATAATTTAGAGCTATTAAGTATCTTTTCAGAACACAGTAGACATTAAGCCTATCTGAGTCCCAAGCCTATGTTCTCAATTGGTGTATTATACTATCTTAGGACACAATGGCTCAGATGTGGAATCTTAAACAAGTTAGGTCTCTAGTTCCTTCTTATCAACATTAATTCCATCTTTTCCAGTCAACTCTGATGAGCTGTCCTCCATGCCCAAAGTTGGGGCAGGGGTACGGAATTAGTAACATAAGAGCAGAGAAGTTCTGCTTCCTCATTACTGTTATGTGCTAACCTAGCATCATTATTTTCCAGGGCCTTACCTTCCCACAACTTTCTGCTCTTTATTGTTTTCTTCAGCACTTTTATCTTGTTCTGAAGACTAGTCTTCCTGCCCAATGTTCTTGGCTGTGTTATTCCAAGACCTTGAGTGTGTGTCATCCTGTTTAATCCATGCTCTTCGGAAAGCTTACTAGACAACCTAACAGGTTCATTGGATTCCTCCAGCTTTTCTTTCTCAGTGGGAACATTGGAATGGTCAGATTCAAAAGTGTGCAGAATACTCATTTTAGTTGTTGGCCTTACATCTATTGGAGACAATATCATGACATCACTTGGCAAGCTTTTCCACTACGCACGTAATGGCTATTGCGCTTGCGTTGCACAGTCCGCTCATTCTTTGCTAATTATTTGGCAGGACTTTGCTTTGTGTTGTATGTGATATATGTTTCCTCTGGAAAACTCTTCCTGCATTCTCAGGACTTTTCTAGGGAAGAATATCAAGAAAATGAATCTGCCAGGACTGTGTCACCTGCAAAACTTTCCAAGTTGTTGGCCCGTGATGTTGAGAAGGGAAGGGACATAAAGTAGTGGTAAACAATCCAGGCTTAAAGTGATTCAGACCTACACCGAGTCTGCTGTAGGTGCAGTGGAGATGGTGCCATGTCTCAAGTTTTAATTTGAAAATGGGGATAATAAGCCTGAGCTAATGAGATAAGGCATATATTCTTTAATGTGATGTAAGTGCTCATTAGCACAGTAGCTGTTACTATTATTGAACTCCTTGACCCCATGTGCAATTTTGCAAAGCTCCTTCCTAACATACTCTATTAGCCCAATATCACATCCAAAGCTTGTGGCTCCCAGAGAAGACACTTAAGCCACTTTCCAAAGGCTTGGTGAACATTCTCCTCATCCTCCAAGTAATTCACTCTTGCTTAATTTTGAATAAAGAACAGAGGCCAAACTAATGACAAGACATTGTTTATGGTTATAAATATCTTTTCAGATAATGTTTATGGGCCTTAAAATTTTGGCGAGAGAAGTCAGCTCCCAAGAAGGCTGATTTCTTCCTACATTTAGGAGCCCCAATACTCCATTTCTTTAAAAGTCTGACAACACACAGAAGCAAAGCAGTGAGCTTCTGGTGAATAAAAGGCAAAGCTAGATTTGCTGTAGGGCCTTCCTGGATTGTGGTCATAGCTTTGTCTTGGATTACAAAATTCAGTTTGGGAAAGTCAGTTCAATCGAACTAAAATGTTATGAATGTAGCTCTGTGCCATGAGCCCAAAGATGTTGTACAAGTTTCTATTGCTGTTGGTACTAATTATCACAGATTTAGTAAGTTAAAACAATAGAAATTTATTACAACATAAATTTATTGTTTACACTTCTGGAGGTCAGAAGTTCAAAAGTCAGTGTCATTGAGCTAAAATCAAGGTTGTTTGATTTTATTTTTACTTATTCTTTTTTTTTTAAGATTTATTTTATTTATTTGAAAGAGTTACAGAGAGAGGTAGAGAGAGAGAGAGAGAGAGAGATCTTCCACCCAATGGTTTACTCCCCAGATGGCCACAATAGCCGAGATACACCAATCCGAAGCCAGGAGCCAGGAGCTTGTTCCAGATCTCCCACGTGGGTGCAGGAACCCAAGGACTTGGGCCATCTTGTACTGCTTTCCTAGGATCGGAAGAGGAGCAGCCAGGACTAGAACCAGCACCCATATAGGATACCGGTGCTTCAGGCCAGGGCGTTAACCCGCTGCACCACAGCTATTTTTACTTATTCTTAATTCATTCCTGAGATAGACACATACACACACACACACATACACACACACAGCTCCCGTCTGCTGACTCACTCTCCAAATGTCCACAAAGGCCAGAACTGGGTTGGGCTGAAGCCCAAAAACCAGGAACTCAACCCAGATCTCTCATGTGAGTGGCAGAGATCCAACCGCTTGAGCTATAACCTACTGCTTCCTAGGGTCTGCACTGGAGGACCAGAATTGGGAGCCGGAGCCAGAGGCAGAGCCAGAAATTGAACTTAGGAACCCCAGTATGGGATGCAGATGTCCCAAATCAGCACTTTGTTAGGCTAAATGCATGCCCTAAAGTTGCCTGATTTTAAAATCCAGGGCTATTCCTCCCTTGGCTTGTAGCCCCTTTCCCCCATTTGCAAGGCTTTTCAACTCTCTTTCTCTCTCCTCACATACCTTTATTTCTGTCACATCTCCTTTCCTGATTCTAAAGACCTTATTATGCTGGGCCCACCCAGATAATCTCCTTATGAAAAGGTCCTTAACTTCACATGTACAAAGTTCTTTTTTTCCACATAAGGTAACATATTCGTGAAATTTTAAGGATTTTAAAATGTGGACATCTTTGGCAGCCATTATTTTGCCTACTACAGGTGTGCATTGTATGTTCTTCCCTGAGTCAGAGGCCCGGTATGTTCAGTCCCAGTTTATATTTTGTAGTCAAGACTTCTAATGGAGCAAGTTGGCATTCAGAGAAGTAGAAGTTAATCAAATAAAAAGCAGGTATCAGCATGCACTTTATCACATCACCAAGAGAATCAAAACAGTATGATAGTAAATTTGACTTCTTGTCGTGCTGAATACTTCTTTCAGTGCTAGGGTTTCAGAAAGAGGCAGATTGTTATAATGTAATTTATAGAGTGCCTTCCCCTGAGTGATGAACAGAATATTCCTTAGTATCCTCAGAGAATTAGTCTCTCTATCTCTTTTTATCCCAGCTCAACTACTCCAGCAATATAATATCTGTGTGCAAGAAATAAATCAGAGTTACTAAATTTAAGGATGTTTACTTAAAGAAATTCCTTTTGGAGTTACTGTCTCCCTTTCCCCCAATTTGAAAATGATCTTCTTTGGGCACTATAGTGCCATTGACCTGCATTAGATTAGTTTAGTTAATTAGCATTTATATAGTAATTACCACTCAGGATGGCCTTGAATATTACCCTTTTAATAAAGATGTGCTTTAAAAAGAGATTATCGGTGTAAATTTCTGCCACATAGTAGCATTAAAAAAAAACATGCATTTAGCAATTCTTTCTGCAGTGTGACTTTGGGTATAGCAATGATATTTGGTAGATAAAGCTTAAGGATTTTGCCTTGATAAGTTGATTAATCACACTCATGCATTTTTTTTAAGATTTATTTTATTTACTTGAAAGTCAGAGTTACACAGAGAGAGGAGAGGCAGAGAGAGAGAGAGAGAGGTCTTCCATCTGATGGTTCACTCCCCAACTGGCTGCAATGGCCAGAGCTGCACTGATCCAAAGCCAGGAGCCAGGAGCTTCTTCTGAGTCTCCCATGTGGGTGCAGGGGCCCACGGACTTGGGCCATCTTCCACTGCTTTCCCAGGCCATAGCAGAGAGCTGGATCGGAAAAGGAGCAGCTAGGACTAGAACCTGCGCCCATATGGGATGCTGGCACTTCAGGCCAGGGCGTTAACCTGCTGCGCCACAGCACCGCCCCCACTCATACATTGTTAAAAGCCACATTGGGTATTTTCCATTCAGAGAGGCTGTTAGTAACCCTAAATGCTGAGACTAATTTGGAGTAACTTCCTCTCTTTCTCTGTCAGGAGTGGGGAACGTGCAGCTCCTGGGCCAGATAAGGCCTCACAAATCATTTGATCTGGTCTTGCAGATCACGGGTGGGTGCAGGCAATCACAGCTGGGACTCAACACTCAATAAAACTATGGAAGGCTAATTTTTAAGTTGATAATTTTGTGAGGCCTATGAATGATATTATAAAGATCCAAATGGCCCTTGGTAGTGTCGCTCCCCCTCTTCGTGGAGGAGCAACACTAAACCCTGCGCTGTTCTTTTGTCTGCTCGGCCCTCCCCGGGTTTGCTGCTGGTTCTTCCCGGGTTGGCTGCCATCCCTTCCACCTCGGTGGAAGGGCGGTTCCCCCTGGCCACTTTCCCCACTTCCGCAGGGGAGCGGCACTCCGCCGGCCGGCTCTCTCGGGGGCTGCACAGGTGTTCCTTCAGATAGATGTTCCTTGTGCATGCCGTCTCTCTCCTCCTTTATAGTCCTCCTCTGCCAATCCCAACTCGGCTGCCCACACGCCGAGTACGCTGCTCTCCTCCAATCAGGAGCAAGTCCTACAGTTTATTGGCTGAACTGGAGGCAGCTGTGTAGAAGCTGTTTTCTCCTCTCCCAGCGCCATATTGTGGGAGAGCAGATGCATAGAATAAGTCTTAATTCCAGCAACTTAGTCCAGTCCGAGTTGCTCCCCACAGGTAGAGCAAATGTTCCCTACCCCTGCACCTGTTTATAGTAATTCCCCCATTT